GCAGTAAAAAAAAAAAAGCTAATGCATTACTAGGTGGCATGAATAAAAGCATAGTGTCCAGAATGAAGGAAGTGATAGCTTCGATCTCATGGGCCTTAACCAGACCATTATCTAGAGCATTGCCTTGACTTCTGAGATCCCATTTAAAATGAGCATTGATAGCTACTGTGTATGAGAGGAAATAGGAGATAGAACTAGATGATGAAGAGCATTTGAAACATACCAGTCAAGTATCCATTGATTATTTAGCCTAGGAAAAGGAAATTTTAGGGGTGCACATGATTCAATTCAATGACCATTTAAATGCTGACCATGAACAATGAACTGTGCTAGGTCTAGGGACACACACACACACACACACACACACGTACACACACACACACACACACACACATACATATACACACACACTCTCAACACAATAACAATCTCTGCCCATAAAATACTTAGGTTTCATTAGCATTTTTCAAACATTCAAAGGGCATAGGATTATGACTGGTATTACACTTGTTTTGTTTATTCTCGTTGGACAGAATTAGGAGCAATGAATAGAAGTTTCAAAGGCTAATTCCAATTCAATATGTTAAAAAAAAACCAACTTCCTAATAGATCAAAGTGGAATGGGTCACCTCATAATAATAGGTTCCTGATTACTGAAAGTCTTGAAGAGGAGCCCAGATAACCACTTCACAAGATGTTAGCTTGGGAAGGATCTTAGAGAACATCTAGTCCAAAACCCTTATTTTAAAGATTAAGAAACTGAGGCTCAAATAGAAGAAAATTAGTGTGAGGTCCAAACTAGTGTCAGAGCAAGGCCTTGAACCCAAGCCAATGTTCTTTTCACTGCACCTGTGTTATTGAAAGATCTGCTCAGGTATGGGTTGGACTAGATTTGTTTCAACTTAACAAGAATTCCCTGATTCTATGAAAGGAAAAGAGGAAAATAACTATTTTCTTTCCTGTTGTCCATATAAAATGTAGCTTTTACCTGACACTAAAGAAGGGGCTTTTCCCACTTTCTCCAGCCTTCCTGGGATAGCCCTAGAATATTAAACCCAATGATTCCTTCTTTTGGATGTCCATGTCACTTTTTCTCCTTCCTGAAATTCTATCTCCTTGGTTGATAGATTCTATCTCCCAGAGCATCAGCTGCCTTCTGCCATGAAAGGTCTCTCCCATTAGCATTCCTATGGGGAGCACCTGCTACCCTCATCCATCCCTATTAACTTACTGCAAGGGCAGAGAGGTTGATTGGAAGGGTAATTTTCCCTCTCCCTCCTCCCCTCCCCCAAAGAGTATTGTTCCTTCACCCAATGACAAATTGATCTTCTAAACAAGTGTGTCTGCTACGTCTGTTACAAAAGTCTGCCCAGTGAAATGCACTTTTAGAATTATAAACAGTGACAGACTTGACAGTGTCATAATTCACTGCATTAATTCAACGCTGTGTGTCAATAACTCAAAATCACACTTCAAATAGCACTGGATGGCAGAACCCCATAATGAGGTGGCCAGACTATGAATTGGGAAGTCTGATAAATAGGGGTCTCTCAAAATCGTCAACGTTATTAAAAATGTATTTCTGTTTCTGGAACAACCACATTTCCCCAGTAAAGACACCTTATTGTTATTTATGGTTTTAATCTGGATGTCAAACTACAGATTATTAAAATGGTAAATTATGTGAGCTTTTCATATGTAAGTGAACTATTAACATTAATATCATGCAGCAGATGCCATCTTTAAAGCTCATGAGATTAACTAATTAGTCATTGTGCCCTGAACACATTGTGATTTATTCTGGAAGGAATGGGGAATAATAAATCAAATTGTCATTGAAGTGGGACCAATATGGCCTCTCAAATCCATTTGAAACAGATGAGGAATATATTTGAATCAGAGAAATGCCTAGAAACACAAGAGGGCAAAGACTATGAGACAAGATGGGGGCACTGGGGAATCAATGTTTCAAGGCAGATTATTTTCAGATGTTTCTTTTCCTTTATAATGGATCCAATATCTTTACAACTGCTTTCCTCCTGAATCAAAAAAATATTAAATTTCACATCAACTGTTATATATTTTAATTGCCTATTAAAGAAATGGAACACTGTACGAGAGTGGACCTTCGAGTGTCATTAGAAACTTCCTCCTTATTTAAACAGTTAATTTATTAACTTGTCTGGAAATCAATCGTCTGTGTAATGAATTTGCATATAAAAAGAACATTAAAAATAATGAATAATATGGATGTTGGTAGCTCTAAAATCATCAGCCCTCATTACCATATGCAAGAATATTTGTAAAATATTTTCCTTTGTATATAAACACACATATAAAAAGATAAAGCAATAAATTTCTAACATATGAAGTTAAATTTTGAAACGATTGTAGGCTTTTGGCAACACATAACAAACCTGTGGTCTTCCTCACTGAATTGCTGTGAGAAAGAAGCAGGTGGCTGTGGCCCTCATATAGGGCCCCAGGGTCACACATTGGACATCTCTTGTCTAATTATTCATTGTACACATCTGGATTCTCCAGAGACCTGAAGCCCAGGGTTTCATATTCAGTGTCTCCAGAATAACCTACAGCACAATCTGTTTACTCATTAGCTTGGAATGAAAGCTCAAACTAGGAGTGGAAAAAGCATGTGCTGATGGTAGAAAAGGCCAGAAGGGAGGTGGAAGGAAGCATGGAATGGATAGCTGGAGAAAGGGGTTGTTACAAATGTGGGGAGTAGAACATTTACTTAAAAATCGTGATGCACCAAGGAGATTATTCTGACGTGTCCAGATAAATAGTAGTAAGTGGCAAGGAGACAAATGAATGAAAATATTTATTTAGCATGTGCTTTGTGCCAAATCCTGTGCTAAGTACAGAATACGAAAATGCAAAATTAAGAGTATCCCTGCCCTCAATGAACTTACATTCTAATAGGACAGTGGTGACAAGGGAAGGGAGTTTGGCTCTTGGAAATGACAGCAGAGTGAAGGATGACTAGTGTGACTAGTAGAACGCTAGAGCTTTTGGCAGAAATAGCATAGTTGGGAGGAGACCAAATTCAAAGGCTCCCTTTTCCCAGTTTGGGTGATAAGGGGATGGAGTAGAACATGAAAAAAAGGGAAGGTGAGAGGAGCAAGAAGTCTGGAGAAGGTTTGCGTTGGAAATGAGGGAAGGAGTAGTTTAAGCAGCTTGGGGGAAAAAAAAGCAAAGGCCTTGGGGAAAGAGTTGTGATATGGGTAACAAAAGAGAGGCGATATTGGTTATTGTTTATCCTTGGTTCTCCAAGAGGATCTTGACTTCAGGAAGGAGATGTCATGACTCACAAGTGAATTGGATTTAAGTGAGGGAGGGCTGTGCAAAGTCACCAGCCTCACTCTCTCCTCCAGAGCCATCTGGGTCCAACGGCAAGGTATAGATCAGGAGATGGGAGATGTCCCAGGATGCAGTGGGAGACCTTGGCCTTTTTAAGCTAAGGTTGTTAACAGGTCTTTGTTTAACTGAGGCAACGCCCATTTGGTGATTAAGGCTAGGTAAGAAAGGAGGTAGAGAATGGCCTCTTTACCTAGTCAAAAAATAAAAAATAAAAAAGAAATCAATCAGGGAGGGGAAGATCCTCAGGGTTTCTGGCCAAAACAGAAACAATGCAGAAACAATTGCTATTTACACTCACTCAGAGCCAACAGAATCCAAACAGCGATCAAGTGAGGCTTAGGCTGGAAACCATTGCTGGACAATCAATGAGAGAGTGATTTGGTTTGAAGACATCCATAAAAAAAGAAATCTAGCCTGTAAACCCCAAAATATCTTGCTAGGTTTCACAATCAAAATTTATATTCCTTTGGGCAGAGTACTGGCAGGTAAGGGTAAGATTCCCCATGTGGGACAGAGGGAGAGGAAGAAGAGGTGGGAAGGAAGGAAGGAAGGAAGAAAGGAAGGAAGGAAGGAAGGAAGGAAGGAAGGAAGGAAGGAAGGAAGGAAGGAAGGAAGGAAGGAGGGAGCTGAGTTGTCCAACTGGAACTGGCCAGTTGGGTCCCCAGTGGGGCAGCTACTACTCCCCACAGGTTTCAAAGAGGACCGTGACTTCAGGAAGGAGATGTCACGACTTGCAAGTGAATTGAATTTAAGTTAGGGAGGGTTGTGTAAAGTCGCCAGCTTCACTCTCTCCTCTGAAGTCGTGTGGGTCCAGTGGCAAGAGATAAATCAGGGCGACTGGAGATGGCCCGGGATCCAGTGGGAGCCCTTGGCTTTTTTTTTTCCGTGATGAGAGGATGAAGGATGAGTCAAAAGGAGAATGTGAATAGAGAACAAGAAGGTGATAGCAGTACTGGGATGTTGTCAAAAGCATGGGAAAATATGTGTGAAGCAGGGCCCAGGAAGAAGGATGAGAGGGGATAACCCACGTAAAGGTTCAGTGGGTTGACAGTAGACTATCAGGGTAGAGAAGGGAGAACTAATAAAGACCACGTAAGACTAGTGGACCTTGAAAGCAGTAAGGGTGGAGGGAAATGCAGTGAGGTCCCTTGGCTAGGAAGAAAGAAGCCAGATACGGAAATGAGTGGAGCAGGTTCAAGGGAAGAAGGGTGTTGTGGCTGTGGGGTGGCAGAGCACAGGTTTGGGTGGGGCCATGGGCAGCGACTAGTCAGTCAGCCAAGTAACATTTATTAAGCTCCTATCAAGTTTCAGACACTGTAAAGCACCGCGGGTAGAAAGGAGAAAAAAAATACCCGATCCCTCAAAGTAACCCCCGGGGGTGGGTGGAGTCACGGGCAGAGGGCGGGGTCTAGTCCCAAATCTAGAACTGGGAGGGACCTTAGAGGTTATCTAGTCCCACCCCTTCATTTTACAGCCGGGGAAATTAAGGCCCCGGGAGTTACAGTAACTGGCCCAAGGTCATACAAAGAGTAAGAGGTAGAGATGAAATCGGGCTCGGGATGCTGGGGCACCAGCGGCGCCCCTCCCTCTCTCCTCCCTCCTCTTCCCCGGCACTGCCTCACCTGTACGAGCTGCCCGCAGCGCTCGCCACCTCCTCGCGGATCTGGCGATTGAGGGCGTCGGCCGCCGCACGCCCCTTGCCGCCTCCGGCCTCGGGGGGCTGCTGTGGCTGTGGCTGGGGCTGGGGCTCGGACCCCTGCAGCCCCTGGCCCTCTGCCCGCCGCAGCATCCACGCGGGCCCAGCCTTCTTGCGCACCTCCCACCAGTCTGGTCCAGACGCTTTCCCGGCAGGGAGGTCTCCTCCTCCTCCTCCTCCTCCCCCTTCCTCATCTCCCGGAGCCTGAGCCTGGGCAGGGGCCTCGCCAGACCTCCGCTCCTGACTCTGCTGCCGCCGCCGCCGGCGCTCCTCCGCCTTGGGCGGGCCCGGGGAGGCCGAAGCCGGGGCTGGCAGCGGCTGCGGCGGAGGCGGCGGGGCCGCCTTGGGGATCCAGGGGTGGTCGCCGCGCCGGGGCAGCGGCCACGCCCGGAAATCCTTCTGATACTGGGTCTCCTTCTCGAACGGCGTGTCAGACGGTTGGTACTCGCTCCGGGGCTTGCAGCTAGGCTCTGGGCGCTGAACCTTCCACGCCCGGTAGTCCTGCCGCATCACCGAGTCCGCCGGACCTAGGCCGGCGGCTGTCTTGGCCTGGGCCTGGGCACTGGGAGGCCCAGGCTCCCGCTCCCCGCCGGGCCCTGTTGCCCGGGCAACAGCATCCAGGTCACCCGGGGCCGGCTGCGTTTCTATGGCAACGGAGCGCGCCGAGGGGGGAGCATGCTGCGGCTGCGCCGCTGGGGGCTGCTGCGGTTGCGGCGGGGCACCCGGGTGGTCCGTGGCCTCCGAGTACTTGGTGAAGACCAGGGGCACCGCGATGTCCGCCTTATCCAGCTGGTTCCAGAAGCGGGCGATGCAGCAGGCACGGGTGATGCACGGCCAAGCCATGATGCTTCTGTCCAAAGACCCTTCCTTCTGCCTGCCTTTTCTCTTCCCACCTAAGCAAGCTAGGCTGCCCTGATCTTGCTCCCTTTTGAAGGAGCTAGCCTCCTACTCCTGACTGTGTTGCCCCCTTACTCACTCACTACCGTTAAGTTTTTATTTTATTGAAAAGCACACACCCACCCTACTTAACTAGCCCCAAGGTTCGGGGTCAGTGATGTTCTCTGGGATGAAAAAGTCTGCAAACGTGCAACCTGCCCTGCAAAGGGTGCAAACGCTGCTTTGCAAAAAGGCTGCAATTGCAGTACAAAGGTGCAAGATCTTCTCCCGGGCTGGCCTCGCCCGTCAGCCCCGAGTAGAACCCATAGAGGCTGCTGCAGGCTTAAGCCATGCTGCAGAGACGGGCGGGGCTGTCTGTCAGCCTGCAGGGTCCAGGGAGAGGTGACTGCCTCCGGGCTCCTCGGTTTTCCCGCCCTATGCGGTGCTATTCCCCAGATCCTGCTCCCCACTCTCAGTTCCCCGCTCCCGCCTGGGCTACTTAGCTCTTCCCGGCTGGCAAGGCCAGGAGGAAAGAGGACAGAGTGACCTGCCCAGAGGCGATCATCTGCTGGGAATCCGGAGCATCGCTGGAACTGCTGTTGCCACTGCTGCTGCCGACGCTGCTACTGCTGCAGGGGAAGCGACCCCACCCACTATCAGCAGGGGGAAAAAAAAGCCCACACCAAGAAAGATGCTGAGGGAGAGAGCTTTGCGGAGAAATCACCTGCTTTCGTCAGCGCGCAGCGTCTGTGAGCTTGTTTCCCCCTCCCCCTCTGTAACTCCTTCCTTCTCAGCTGGGAGCCAGGCCTCTGAGCAGCTGCTCTTCTCTGGAAGGATGCAGAGGGGAAAGAAACGGTTAAAGCGGCTGACCCCTTTCAAAGGTCTTCCCTCTCCCCAACCCATCGCAAGCAGCTCAGCCGCGCCCTGAAAACACTAAAGCCCTTTTTGGGAATTCAGTTTGATGCAGACCACAAATGTTTATTTACTTTTCTCCTGTTTGGTGGAGAACACATTTTAGTTAGCCTCAAGGCTGACTTTCTTAGGGAGGGGTACCCTAGGACAGAGTGGGTATTCTCCCTGAGTAGTGGTACTAGCCTTAGGAGAGTCTTAGCTCTTCAACCTTCCCTCCTCCCCACAGCAAACTGTGATGGAATGGAGGCTACAGACCCCAACTATTCAGCACCAAAGAAGGGACAGCAGCAGAAACCAGGCTTTTTCTCACACCCTGCAACCAAAGGACCAGAGGACAATGTCTGGGACTGGATAGCTTCTAAGGAACTAGAAATTATAACATACTTTCACCTCAGTCTACATTTTTTTTTCTCCTTTGATCATCACCACCCAGCTCTGTAAGGTGGATTGAGGCTCAGAAAGAGGAAATGACTTGCCCAGGCAGTTAGTCATACAACTAGTAAGTGCCAGTGCTAGGACCTGAACCTAACTTCTGATTTCCAGTTCACTCCCTTTTGCACTTTATCTCACCTCTCAAAGTAAAATTCCCTGGGTCTCTTCAAACTGAAATTTGCAAATTAGTTGGTCAGACCCCCTTCCTGACTTTTCTGACCCCTTCCCCCTCCACCACCACCTCTGCCCTTGGGCACAACAGCCCTGACAAGGTCATGCAGAGAGAAAGCCAGAGGATCAGAGGCAGTATGGTATGGTAGAAAGAATGCTGAATTTGGTGTCAGAAGACCTGAGCTTGAACTCTGGCTCTGCTACTTATTACCTGTGTGGCCTTGGGAAGTCACTTAGTCTTTGTGAGCCTCAGTTTCCTCATCTATAAAATGGGGGGGTTGGACTGTATGGTCTCTGAGCTTCACTCCAATTTTAAATCTATTATCTTAGCCTTTAGGCAGATTACACAGCAGAACACACCTGAAAATGATTTAAAGAACTTAAAAGTAATAACCAAAATCACAAAATGGTACACTTAAAGAGGTTCCTTTGAGATCATCTAAATCTAATGCTCTCATTTTACAGAAGAAGAAACTGAGGCCCAGAGAAGAGACATGATGACTAAAGTCATGAAACGGGTGAATGGGATAAACATGACTAGAACCCAAGTATCCACACAATAGATGTAGTATAAGCTGACTGGAAATTAGTGTATGGAAAAGGCAAATTAATGGATGCTGGGGGAAGAGGGAAAACTGAGTTGGTAGTTAAAGAGATCTGATTTCTAGTTGTGACTCTGCCAGTGATTTTGATGGAATTCCAAAGCTGTCCCCAGCCCCAGTGTTCTAACTTCCTTATGGGCCACACTGAACAGCTTGCCCACTGCTCCTAGCTGGCCACTGCCCCCAGATCCAATCCACATATTTGAACAGGTATGTTCTTGTTCCCAACCACAATCATATCATCCATTTAGCCCAAGACAAGACCATAATACCTAACTATCCATCTTGACCAGACAGGGCCACAATAGCTAGCCAACCAGAAAACAGCATGACCAGGATGTTTGGCCACCTAACCATAGAAGGGACACCCCCCATTACCTAATTCCTTAACAAACCCCTCCTGCCTTTCTAATATCAATCATATTCCAATATTCTATTAAATTTGATTGTGTAATCAGCATCATATACCCTATAAAATTCTCTGTCTTACCTTACTGAAACTGCAAGTTCCTCTAAGGAACTTAGCCACTCACCAGAGTGTGAAACCTCAAATCCACAATAAATCTCCCTAACTGGTTCAAGTTGGTTTGACTCTTTGAAATTCTTTGAGACATCTTGCCACGTTGAAATCTGACCCTCATCAATTTGATGCGTGACTTTGGGCAAGTCACTTCTCCTTCTGAGTCACAGTTCCCATCCATAAGATGAAAAGGTTGAGCTCAATGGTCTCCAAAACTCTAATATTCTATGTCCTAAGGTCCCTACTAGCTCTAACCTTCTATTTCTAAGGACCCTTGTTACTCAGTTATTCTGTGAATCTCAATATAAGAAACCAGGCTTTGGGACAGATCCCTTCCTCAAAGTCAAGAGAGAGGCTGAAGGCAGAGAGGATCTGGGGAAAGAACTCTCAGCTCAGAAGGAAATGGGCATAAATGCATTTCAGTTAAAGAAACCTTCCCCTATGTCTCTGATCTGTGGGGCTTCTAGGGCAGTCCTAAGCATACCCCCCAAAACTTTGGCAGCTTCCCAGAGGCATCTCTTGTGCAGGGAGAACCCACTACCACCTCAGTAATTCCTGAGGTGACCTTTTCCATTTTTGGACAGTTCTAATTTCTAGAAAATGCTTTCTTCACCTTAAGCTGAAATCTTCCTTAGTGTTAAATGCCTCAGCCCTGTTGTTCTTGTTCTGCCTTTTGTGGCCTAAGAAAATAAGTTCAATGCCTCTTCCACATGACAGAAACCAGTGGGCAAAGATGAGGAGGGAGGACAATTCAGGCATAGGTAACAGAATGTATTTGGGGCAACAGAGTTTTCCAGTTTAGCTGCAGCATAGACTGAAGGGGTGAACATAAGATAAGGCTGGAAAGACAGGTTGGTCCCTCATTATAGAAAGCCTTGAATGCCAGGCCAAGGAGTTTGAAGTTTACTTGGGAGGCAATAATAAGACATTGAAGGTTTTTGAGTAGAATAATGGTGTGAACTGATGTGTGCATAGAGCATAATACATCACAGTAAAGAATATTCAAATTGGAAGGATCTCTGAGACCATCTAGTCCAACCAGTACCTATCCAAGCTTCTCCTCTATAATATTGTGTCCCCAAGTAACAATCTGGTTCTTGAAGACCACCAAGGGAGGAGGAACACACCAACTAAAAGGTGGGTCATGACACTTTTAGATAGTTCTAATTGTTAAGATATATTCCCTTATGCCAAACTGAAATCTGTCTCTCCTCAGCTTCCATTCTTTACTCCTAGTGGTTCCATCTGGCGCCAATCAGACTAAGTGTAATTGGGGCAGCCAGGTGGCACATCGGATAGAGCACCAGCCCTGGAGTCAGGAGGACCTGAGTTCAAAATCGACTTCAGACACTTAACACTTACTAGCTGTGTGACCCTGGGCAAGTCACTTAACCTCAACTCCCTCACCAAAAAGAAGAAACCTAAACCCCCTCTAGAATGCTAGAGTTTTGGGCCTGGGGGAAGATGGTTTTCTCCTCTACAGTAATAGGGAAGAGGTGGACGGTGGAGATGGTTTAAGGGGAAAGATAATGAGTTCTGTTTTGGACATATTGAGTTTAAGATATCTAGTGGGCATCCAGCTCCAGATGTCTGAAAGGCTGCTGGAAATGTGAGATTGGAGATCAGCAGACAGACTAAGGCAGGAAAGGCCAGGCACTCTGCTAAGTGTTGGGGATACAAAGAAAGGCAAAAACACAGAGCTTACTCTCAAAAGTAGCTCAGAGTCTAATGGGGGACACAACATGCAAACAGCTATGTACAAACAAGATATATAAAGTCTCTCCAAGTCTTCAAAAAGTACTTCTGTTCCAAGACCTTAGATGTCACTTCTCTGAATTTCATATTCTTCATCTGGTAGCTAGGTAGTGCAGTGGACGGCATGTTGGACTTAGAGTGGGAAGACCTGAGTTTGTATCCTGCCTGAGAAATTTACTTAACCCTGACCAAGCGACTTAACTGCTATCTGCCTCAATTTTCTCATCTGTAAAAAAGGCATAATAATACCACCTATCTCACAGGGTTGCTGTCAGTACTAAATAAGATAATGTATGTAAACCACATGAAAAACCTCAAAACACCATATAAATAATAATTATAATTGCTATTATCTATAAAGTAGAGAGCTTGTATGCTATCAGTTCCAAATTCATGATCCTTCCAGCTTTAGTATTCCATGATTCTATGACAAAGACTGGTCATTAATTACTATTTGTTATGTGTTATCCAATTATAGACACCTTTCATACTTTTTCGTCATTTCTCCCCCCAAAAAAAATCCACAATGACCCAGCCAAAGGTACCTTCTTGAAGTTAGTATCCTGTCCTCAGTT